GAAAAGACGCTAGAAATGCTTCGAAGCGTTTGATTGACCAATCAGGGCAAAGAGAGTAAAGATTTCTTTATTCTAATTGGTTAATGCAATGCTTCGAAGCATCTCTAGCATCTTCTCGACCGCAGCCAGAGAGATGCTTGTGAGGGGTCACGCCGCCGTTTTTCATAAGACACTTTTTCTAGCTGGTATAGTAGCGTCAACTAGATCCATTTTAGAACCGACGGAACTACATGGCCAGATTCACTTTTTGGTGCCATAGTAAAACGGTCGATTGGTGTACGTCCGTGCTAGACCCATATAATTGTGGATCAAAATTGCGAAGAAATATTATGGATTTATTAATGTTTTGTTAGCCGTGCGTGATGTTTTGCCATTCTAGTATATATTACGGACAGCGATAATAAGTTATTATTGAAGTATTTTTATGTACATGCGCATATGATATAAAATAAATTTTCTTAAATTAAAAAAAAAAAAATTTTCTTAAATTAATTTTCTTAATAATTTCTTTCCTAATTTTTAAATATATAACGTGTAGAAGATATTTACAATAAATTGCTTTTACTTTTTTCTTATTCTTGAAAAGTATTAAGCATTTTAAACATTATCAAATCATGCTTTTAATTTATATAATTTTTATTATAATTTTTTTAATAATTATATTATACAATTAATTTTTTAATTTATGAACTCAGTTGGATGCACTAGTGCGCACCGATGCACATTAAAAGCTATTATAGACAAATTTATATAAGCGTAATTAATTATATTTTTATATATATGTATAAAATATATAGTTATAAACCTATAGTTTTAACCGTATTCTATTGTTATACTAAAGAAAAGAAAGTTTCAATTGGATTTGAAATTAATGTCGTATAAATACATATCAAAATGTCCTGAGAAAAGTATTATTTTTGCATTTCCGGCCTTTTAATTAAAATTCTGAAAAATAAGGAAAAAATGAAAGCAAATTTACAATAATTTGCTTTCATTTTTTAATTGTTGACAGCGTTAATTAATTTTTTCACGTTTATATGATCACCGATGATACTATCAACTGTCAGATTTTCGCGAAATGTCATAAAATGTCAAAAAATCGCGATATCTTGTACAATATTGTTTTTTTTAGTGTATGAAATGTTAAGAATGTTTTTTTCTATCTTGTGGAATTTCATTCAGAATTTTAATTAAAAGGCCGGAAATGCAAAAATAATACTTTTCTCAGAAAGTGCAACTAATAAAACATTAATATTAATCCATAATATTTCTCCGCATTTTTGATCCATAATGTGTTTGGCACGGACATGCACCAACCGGTCATTTTACCATGGCATCAAAAAGTGTCTGGCCATGTAGTTCCGGCGGCTTTAAAATGGATCCAGTTAGCGCCACCGTATCAGCTAGGAAAACGGTCTCACGACAAATGGCGGCGTGGCCCCTCTCAGGGCGCGTTCCACTTAACGACCGCAACGCTCGCAAGCATCATCTGTCCTTGTTTAACTTTCGGTGAACAACAAGGATAAAATGATACCGTGAACGTTGCGGTCGTTAAGTGGAACGCGCCCTCAGGCTTCTCTCAGATAATATATAAAGCCCATGTCACATTACGCATTGCGGACTCGAATCGGATTTGGAGTACGGACTGCGAATCGTCATTCATCCAATCAGAGCGAAATAGCCAAGGATCTGATTGGATGATTGACGATTCGCAGTCTGTAATCCAAATCCGATCCACTAAGGCAATGCGTAGCGTGACACGGGCTTTAGGCTTCACTCTACCTGACTCGATCCTCCAATCCGAAACGAAGTCATCCTAGTAACCGTAACCTGAAATTGCAGCTCTTCAATTCGGTAGATTCGATTGTGTCAGATTGTGTGTATCTGCGTAATCGAATTTTTACGGTATGGCTGATATGGGCCTAAGTTTAGATGATATTATTAAAAAGTCGAAATCATCAGGAATGAGAGGCAGAGGAGGGTGAGCCAAATTCATCTAATTATCCAACGGAATTCTCTTTACCCCCGCTATAGATTTATAACCTTCACAATCGCGTTTCCCTCGATCAAGAGAAATGGTCACCTCATAACCCGAAATCTTGACTCTCGGCACTTTTACCGTTTGAATTAATTAATTTAATAGTATATTAACAGAATCGGCGTTAAGAATAAATTAGCATACATATAATGTACAATGTATTCGAAATAGCTTATGATGTAAATAGCTCTAAAGCAAAACTTTTTTTTGCTGATCGAACGTCCTTAATGATATTAGAATGTTGTTTATATAGTTTGTATGACACAAAATTTAAGCTTATCAATCACTTCACAATTTATTTTAATACTGATGAAAAAAGTGAGTCGGAAAAAAAATAATCGATTTTATATTATTGGGCAGGATTCGCAGGGGACTCAATAGAGGCTCACGCGCGAATGGTTCTATGAGAGGACGTGGCTCGCATGTAGTTACAGATGCACGATTTAAAATAATACAGAAGAATCGTGAAAAATTGACCGATGCCAGGGACAAGCTTGCGGAGATAGCAAAGCAGAGCGATGCTAGGATCAAGTTGGATAAGATTCGAGCGTCTCAGTATAAAAAGATGGATGTGCAGCTTTCCGGGATTTCGCGAAAGACCGGCCGAAATGGCAGGCTTTCGTTATCGACAAACAAGGTGCCGCCTCTGATGCCGCACGTATTGCCACCAAATATACCGGCTCCCACGAGAGTAGTAGGGTACAGACCACCCTCTCTCTCCGAACCGCATTATTTAGGAGATATGAGTATGGATTATAATGATGGTATGTGAATAGTGTAACATTGTATATTCATACGTACTTATATACTTTTAAGATGTATTTTATAAACATTTATGAAAAACATATTATAAAGGAGCAACTTACTTTTTCAGATTATCTAATGGATTCCCCTTCATTAAGAAGAACTGTGAGTAACGAGTATGCGCCAGCACCACCACCTCCACCCCCTGTGTTCAATATTCCAACTTCTCCTTACTCTTGGGTGAAGCCTACGAGCACTAATATGGCTAGAATTCCAGCTCGAAAATCTGATATAGAAAGGGAACGAGAAAGACAGAGAGATTATAAACTCGTTCCACGCTCTTCAATGGTGAGTAACCTTGCAGCAAAATCTTTCATGTGAGATTCTTACAATCTGTGTGTTTAATCTAACTTTTATAATTCTTTGTCTTTTTATTATAGACTAAGACTGCTTCGCCACCTTACAAAGAAGACTGGAGTTTTGGAACAAAATCAAGGTAAATATTCTTGAATCATACATGATTTTTAAAAATGATTATAAACAGATGTATTTATATATGTATTAATTTATATATGCTCTTTATGATTCTGATCATAGAACAATTTTGGCAGAAGAAACCGCAGATTCCAAGTACTATGATTCCAGAAGTCTTCGAGATGTAGGAGTTAAGTCGCGTCTTGATTCGTCTGTGAATAAATCGAGAATAATGGGCGCTTTATCGCGACCGAAAGCAAGTTCATCTAGTTCATCGACGCAATCAACGGGTTATCGAATTGTAGTATCCAATTTGCAAGCGAATGTCACGCAAGAGGATATCAAGGTGCAATATGACAATATATTTTTGAAATTGCTCGCGCTCGTTATGAATCATTAATAATTTTAAAAAATTGAATTTTACAGGAATTATTTGAAGATGTTGGAGAATTGCTGGTATCGAGATTAGTTCGCCCAGGCACGGCGGAAGTAATTTATAAGACATTGAAGGATGCGACTAAAGCAGTTGAAACTTATCATAATCGGCAATTAGATGGCCATCCGATGAAATGCCTTCTTGTTAATCCACGACCAAAAAATAATCCAACTGGACCAGCCGTGCGATCTCTTACAGAGTGAGTAGCAAAATTTTTCTATATCTATTAAAAACGCACAGTTTGGGCGGTGCTCTATTTTAACATTTTGCTGAATCGTGATGATTTATTGTAGCTGCAGCGATTAGTTTAAACTTTTAAAACAAAGAATATACATAATTTTAAAATATATCAACTTTCTTGAAAAGAGGCGTCAAGCTCTCTTTTTCTTCACGACAATCTCTTTCCTACAGATCGAGACGCAGTGTCAGCTCGAGTTATGTACAGCCGAGTTTAGGAGCGGTGCATCGCGCGTTATTTGATGATTCTTAATCGAATATATTACTGTATTAATGAATATATGAATGCTTTTGATATAAGAAATATTAAAAAGGGAAATGTCGCATGTATATTTAAGACATCATCAACGCAGGATAATCTTAGGGAAATGAAATAGAGAGAAAACAGTATGCAGATCTCACCTGCACGTTAAATTTGCGCGCTTATACGTGCGCGAATCCGATTCCCATCTGCGATTGTATCGATAAAATAAACTTGTACCACTCATTATCTTCAATCTATGCGAACTTTGTGATTGATTAACACTGGAATACCCGCGGATTTATCCTTGCCATTTTTATATGAACGTTTCTTTTTTATATCATGTATGGCATTTTTTATTTACAGTTTTGTTATTTTAAGATACCACTTTAGGTATAAAAAGTTATATTAGACGATTGTTCTATTTATACAAAAACAAACACAAAGAAACAAAAAGAAACAAATTTTTGTTTTCCATTGACAATCATCGGTTTTATAGGAATCGTATACTCGATGGAACGCAAACCAGAAAGAATAATGCGATTCGTGATACGATAAAGAATTTATTTATATACGTACAACATCATCATCACAATATATTCATAGCTACAAAATACAAAAGCTAACATCGCGAGCATGTTATTGACATGCACTAATTGTAACGGTCACCTCCTCTCTGGAGAAAGGTGGGGAGGGGGAAGGGGAGTAGGCATACGTTATCGGGAAGAGTGGTATGAGCAGTTTTGGAGTTAGAAGTCAGATTTTGACACGGGGAGTAAATGGCACATAAATAAGTTTTTTTTTATTCTTCGTAAACATACGTACGGCACCGTAATAGCGCTCAATAATCGCCATCTCATCGTACGAAAGGAAGGGGATATACAATAGGGAGATATACGAAATGTCGAAACTTAAAGCTAACGCCGACGTGTTAATTAGTGCCTAAAAAAATCATTGTCACGCTACATGTCCGCGTCGTCTATATAATATTTACAAGTACAATACTGAATCTCCATCCTGGAATGAATAATGTGAACCAAACGCGCGGGGATCTATTCTAGACCGAGAGAGAAGAAGAGAGATATAATCGAAATTCAAATATAAAACTCTACATCTTGCTTTCCTTCGCTTCGCTCCTGTTCATAGTCATCCCGTTTAACTCCTACGATGGTGATGATGATGATGATGATGATTGTTGCTTCGGGACTTATTGTTCGGCGTGCGAAGGACCTCCGCGTAAGACAGCTCCAACCGCTTCAATCGTGCCACCTCTTCAGACGCCGTGCTGGGTTTAAAATCTCTGTATTCATAATTGTTGTGCTGCTGCTGCTCGTTCGAACCGCTCGAACCGCGTGCGTGCTGTTGCCTCTTATTGTCCCTCGGCCGCGTTGTCGTCGAACACGCGTTGTGCTGGCCGTTCCACGTGTCCGAGTGCTCGTGCTCGGCCGGATTGAACGGCTTGAACCTCCTTCGGCCGCCGCTGTTGGGCTTGGGGGGTACGAATTTCGGATTCGTCGTAGGGATGACGTCCGGCGTGGTCGAGCGGTCGTTGTAGTGCGTTCTTTTGGCGGCGAAATTCTTCTTCGCCGAGGGCTTCTTACGCATACGCAAGTTGACAGACACGTAGTCCATCCTGCAACCTGCATCTTTGCCGTCGGGTTGTTGTTGCTGTCTTGCACCGGATTTGTTGTTATCGGATTGTTGGTTATTCTTGGTGCTTGGTGGGCTGCAAGCAGATTGCACTCGGCTAAAGACCGGTTCCGAGACCACCGATGACACCATGGAGGACATGACGCTTTGATTATCGTCCGTCGCCTCACTCTGCAGATCTTCCTGAAACGATGTCTCGTATGTTGTCTGAGACGTGGTGGAGTCGTCCAACAACGGCAGTTTTTCACCCTCGTCCTTTGCCTCGGCCGCTCGCTTCAGGACGCCGAAGATCTCGCTGAACAATTGCCGATACTCCGGTGTTTTGCGGAACCTGCTCTCGAAAGGACTGTTGTCGTCGTAAATGCTGAACTTACAGTCCTCGCCATCGGCGATGGAGCACAGGAACGAACCCGGCCTGCCGTCCGTCTGCGTCGCCTTGTTGCTCGTCTCATCTGAGAAGCCTGAGGACGATGTCTCGGCTTCGGAGAAATCTGTCGGAGTGGCTGAGAAGGGTTTCTTGCCGGAGTTGTCGGACACTTTGGCTCGCGAAGCAGCGGTCTTATTCGATTCCGGACCGGCGGTAACGGCGCTCTCGGTGGAATAAAAATTGTTGAACTCCCCGGACATCTCCAGCTCCTCCTGCAACGACATGCACGCGGGGTTGGGCGCGTCTTTACGACGCGGCTGACAGTGTCTCTGCACTTCCAATAAGGCCTGATACTTCTCCACCAGGACTCGATAAGGGTTCGCGCTATCCAACTCATCCGTACACTCGTTCTTGCTGGCTGTATCCTGTGTGCAAGGTAATTAACATATGTGCAGATGAAATTATACAAGGATATAATTTTACGAGTTGCAATTATATTAATAGGAATTTAATTAGGAGTGTTATTAAATGGACAAGAAAAAAGTTATTAGCGTTCAACAATTATGTCATTTAAAATCTATTAAAAATGCACTATTTTTCATATTAATATGAAAAGTCACGCAATATTGTTTCTTACTTACTACATTAGTAAGAGATGTGAGGCATTGTGCACAGAAACGAAGAAAGACTGGAAGCAGAAAGGAGCGAAGGAAACACACATACATGCCAGATTTATAGGATATTAAAAACTACAACAAAGTTCCATAAGAAGAAGTGTTTTATTTAATATCTTATAAATCTGGCACTTGTACATTGTACTTGTACACAAAAGTAACCGGAGAGAGTAATTCGACTAGAGACGCAGCGATTCTGGTACAAAAGCTTTGTCATGCTCAAAACGACAGCGATTACTATATATTTACATTTGCTTACACTAGATTCGTAATTTTATCAAAGTATACTAAAAAGTGAATACAGTCTTAATAATTTTTGGGAATCGAGTAATAGATTTGCCGCAGTGACATACACGAGACATAATAAATGCCTTAACATTCGTCAGGGAAAAGCACTTTAAATTTTAATAATTTTCTAATAATCATAAAATCAAATCTCTCATAATTAACATACTTAAATAAAAATAAATATGTAATATCCTTTCTTTGTATAACATAATATGAATATATTACTATATAACGTGTCATTTAAAATTGCGCGACATTTTAAATGTACATATATAAATAATCAGTAGTATGATTTAAATAACTATTATGTCATAACAAAGAGAGCAAATTTCAGAGAGAAATTGTAAACATTTTTCTTTCCGTTATTTATCGGAAGTCAAGAGATTATGAATTTTCCCAATTCCGATTAAAGAAATATGATTGCTTTAGCATGCTGAATTAAAGAATTTTTGATTTCCGGCGTTTAAACAGCCAAAGTCTAAAGACAACCAGTGACATTCTACGGAAAATGAACGACGGTATTCGGAGAGGTGCGAGCGCAATCGGAACGATGAAGCGGACGCTAACGTAGACGATAGCTTCGGAAAAATTAAACAACAACAACGGCACTCTTGTACAAGCGAATATCCTCCACAACAGCGGATTATACCATTTACGTGCCATCTTTAGCTCGTATTTCGCAAAGTTTGTCATTTCCTAAAGCAGACAAAAGAGAGTTACTATAGGAGTTCTAAATAAGCGCGAACAACCGAAACAAGCGACATGGTAGCGAGAGAGAGAAGAGCAGGATTCATCGTTAAACATGCGAACACGCGATAGTTGACATGAATAGTTGAGAGAGAGAGATTCGCGAAAATGAATCGCGAATATGAAAGAAAGGAAAGAAAGAGAGCGATTACTATATATTTACATTTGCTTACACTAGATTCGTAATTTTATCAAAGTATACTAAAAAGTGAATACAGTCTTAATAATTTTTGGGAATCGAGTAATAGATTTGCCGCAGTGACATACACGAGACATAATAAATGCCTTAACATTCGTCAGGGAAAAGCACTTTAAATTTTAATAATTTTCTAATAATCATAAAATCAAATCTCTCATAATTAACATACTTAAATAAAAATAAATATGTAATATCCTTTCTTTGTATAACATAATATGAATATATTACTATATAACGTGTCATTTAAAATTGCGCGACATTTTAAATGTACATATATAAATAATCAGTAGTATGATTTAAATAACTATTATGTCATAACAAAGAGAGCAAATTTCAGAGAGAAATTGTAAACATTTTTCTTTCCGTTATTTATCGGAAGTCAAGAGATTATGAATTTTCCCAATTCCGATTAAAGAAATATGATTGCTTTAGCATGCTGAATTAAAGAATTTTTGATTTCCGGCGTTTAAACAGCCAAAGTCTAAAGACAACCAGTGACATTCTACGGAAAATGAACGACGGTATTCGGAGAGGTGCGAGCGCAATCGGAACGATGAAGCGGACGCTAACGTAGACGATAGCTTCGGAAAAATTAAACAACAACAACGGCACTCTTGTACAAGCGAATATCCTCCACAACAGCGGATTATACCATTTACGTGCCATCTTTAGCTCGTATTTCGCAAAGTTTGTCATTTCCTAAAGCAGACAAAAGAGAGTTACTATAGGAGTTCTAAATAAGCGCGAACAACCGAAACAAGCGACATGGTAGCGAGAGAGAGAAGAGCAGGATTCATCGTTAAACATGCGAACACGCGATAGTTGACATGAATAGTTGAGAGAGAGAGATTCGCGAGAATGAATCGAATATGAAAGAAAGGAAAGAAAGAGAAAATACCTGCACTGTCTGCTCAGAATCGCGCTGACTCTCGCTGATCAACGACTCGGCCACGCTTATGTCGTCGTATTCCTCCTGATCCAGCATGATGGAGAGCTCGTCGTGCGTCCTCGTGTCCATACCGCGCAGACATCGCCCGCACAATTGACCTCGTCTATAAAAACACGTTCACAGAGTTTTACGTCAATGGATCGGAACGGATCAATTGGTTTTATCGAGATGGAGAACTCTTTTTAAGGTGCGTACGATAGGTGAACTAAATCTTTTAGTTAGATGCGTGGAGAATGAGCAATGTATAGAAAAAGAGGAGTACCTGACTTCCTCTAAGGTATTTATTTCGTCCTGCAGACTCTTGACATCCTGCATCTTATTACGCATCTCTGTCAATTGTTCCTCCAGCGCGCTATTCTCCTGCAACAAGGTGGTCAACTGCTGAC